TTAACTTCGTCGCAACATTTTCAATATAAAGTTTTGCCAGCATCTAAAGAAATTTCCCGGGCTTTGATTCTTGCAAGTTGCAAGAGTATAAGATATTCGTTACACCCGAACTTAGCCCTCCCTTGCTTGTTTTGCCAGCCCGCCCTCGTATATGTTTAACCCATGTATAAGGCTCGCAAAAATGGACGGAGTGCAATTACCCAATGTACACTACATCGTCGTTTCGGATTTTAAACGCAATTTAAAATTTAAGCTTTTCCATTCGTTGGAAATGACAACAGGCAATTAGGCAAGAAAACATTTTTCCTTTATTGAATAAATGAGAGTTACTTTGTTTAAAATGTTTTTATTATCTTACAATACATTAGGTCATTCAGAATTTTTATCATTGAAACTATAGGTTTAGGGTAACTAAATAAGAACAAAGTTTGAGACTGGATATCCTCTGAATATCTGGAAAATACCGCATCAATGGTGGTCCCATATTTGTTGTGGATTCTGTGGATCATTATTCATTTTCAAATTAAATTTCTCCGAAAGAAAACCAAGCACAATTTGGTATGCCACGAAGAAATGCGAGATTTGTTTCTAAACAATTATTTATTTGTTCTCCAGATTGAATGGTCTCTTTCGTAATTGAAGTACCTTGTCAAACATGCTTAAACGCAACGTTGACACATCTACTAACTCGCAACGTCATGATTTAAGCAGCGATGTATAAAAGGTGTTGAGTGTCAGTAGCACGCCTATCGGTTCGCCGAAGTTCACTGGTAGCTTGCATGAATAAAGTAACAATAACACCATCTCTGTATGTTCGAAACTGACCGCCGTAGATTGTCGGAAAAGATAGTTCTTCCGCATGTTCATCCATTAAAATACTGACTGGGCTGTTATATTCACCGGGTGCTAGACTCCAAAAATAATCATCATTCCACATAAGAGTTTCTTTCTGCGCAACTAAATTGTCTTCAATTGGCACATGTTCACTTATTTCATCCATATTCAATTGCGTAGTACGTTCATTGCCAGTAAAAAAGATTCATCGATTTTAATGTCATGATAAATATAAAGAGGCGTAGAAGCTAAATACGACAACCACTTTTTAATATGCCTCTTATTAATAAGCCCGTGGACATAACTAGTTTTGTGAATCAACTTCTTTTTCAAATGCACATAAAAGCAATGGTCATCTTGAATGTTTCTTGGCAATTGTTTTACAATTGTATTAACTCCGATAGGAACATTAATTATTTGGCAATAAATACCGTACTGATCATTAACGTGTCTCAATCTACGAATCTGCATGAACGATATTCTCGGTGAAAAGTATAAAGTGAATAATTAAAAAAATATATATATAATTAAGATTACATTTAGTATTATATACATATAGTTTTCAAAATACTTTCATGTTTCCTGGACGACATTTTCAAGTCTCTTTTCCACCATAGTATGTCGCAAATAATATTGAATATTGGCATCAACATAGGCTTCATTTTGGGTAACGTCTTGTATTGTCTCCAATAAATCTGATACTTCATAAAAAGGTGTGAAATGTTGATCACGAAGATGAAGATGAATCCAGTTTTGTGTATCATTCACTTTAAAATGACAAAAGATATTATATTGATTCTTTGTAGTTATGTTGTATAAACAATAATGTACACAAACATTTTGATTGTACATATTTGAAAATAAGTACAAACAATCCAAATCTCCGGAATCATTAGTGCTTGATAGCTTCTTGCGGATTGTGGCAGGAGTTTAAATAGGGTGAATCGCATAACTGATTTCTCAAGTCACAAGTCTCAATTTGAAGTTGCAAAACACTTATGGAATAGACAATTACCATCGCCAGAAATTCCTGTGTTCCTGTGTAGAATAACTTTGGGAGCAATGCATTCATTACGCTGGTCATAAATTTGAAGTTGTTGGCTGTAAAATTGATTTTCTTGTAGCGTTACATTTTCTATATTTGAAACAGCCCTACAGTGCACGACATTCTCTTCATTACTGTCCAATTTTTATCTTTTCCTGTGAAATAATATTGAGGAATATATTACAATTTGTTTTTAAATATCAAATAATATTATTAAACCAAATTACATATCCACGTAAGATTTATCTGGATTACGTTGACGAAATTTCCTTTCACGTTCTGCATTTGATTTTGGTACTGTTTCGTTTTATATTTTTTTATTTTATTTTTTTTATTTTTCTTCAAATCTTTCTGACGCTTCAACTTCTTTTTCTTTTTAGCTCTTTAAGTTTTTCTTCTCCATAAAGCGAAAATAGCTAAGTACAAATAATAGGTATAAATAGTGTAATTACACACCAAAACAATTCCGTAAGGTGTGGCTATTTGACCTTCTCGGTTACGTTGTGTTTCGAACGCGCATTTGGATTATGTTTAGAAGTGTCTCAAATAAACCCTGGGCTGCAATATTCAATATTTCTTTCAAAAACATGCCTAAAACAACATGAAGAGTCCAAACTGCCCCAATCCTATGGCTATTCGAGACATCTAAATAAAAAACTATATACAATAAATTCTCCTTAACTTAAGTTAACTTTTAGACAAAAGAAAAATAAGAAGGAAGATGCTGAACCGGTTAACTTATTAAAATAAAATAAAAGGGATTTGCTACTTAAATAGGAAACATTCTAGATAATATTCTTGTATAAATTGTAACAAATAGCCCCGCTTATGGTTATTCAATCAAAAAATTTAAACAAAAAAAAACGATATTAAAAGTTTGATTATCGAATTTCACCTACATTTGTGATAATAATAAAATGTATGTATGTATATAGAGTACTCACTCATTTTCTTTCACTATTTTTCCATCACTTTCTTTATTAATAAATGCACTTTGTTAATTAATATTTAAAACACTTTATACACAAATTTTACGCGTACTCCCCGAACATGCGTTTGCAAACAAGACTCTTTTAGCGACGATGGCAAAAGCTAACAAGTAAGAAAGGGCTAAGTTCAGATGTAACCGAACATTTTATACTCTCGCAAAGTCAAATGGTATACTCGTTTGAAATTTCTTTGTGGATCTTACCGCTTTGTTCTATGTTAAACGATATTTTCGGTAAAACGTCAACTATAGGCACTGGGGTTCACATATTCAGTACAAAGGGGCTTGAACAGTTTAGAGAATTTTTGGTCACAATCATTGTTGCTTGATTTGCATACTGGAAAGTGAATGAATCAAATGAAATTGAAAATGGTGTTATATGGGAAATAGGCGTGGTTGTAATCCGATCCATTTTCGCACTATAACATAGAAATATGAGAAGTATGTTACGTACCGAATTTGGTTGAAATTGGTAAAGCAGATCTCAAGATATGGGATTTCACCTAAAAGTGGGCTGTGCCACGCCTACTATCTAATTTTGAACGCGATTCCTACAAAGTTATCTCATACCATCCCAGAGATAAAATTTAATGTCTCTGGCGTGTTTAGTGTTTGATTCATTGCGCTTTTAGTAGTTTTTAACAGTACCGTTATATGGGGAGTGGGCGGAGTTGCCACCCGATTTCACACTGTAGGTAGAGGTTCTAAAAACATTTGCTTCCAGTGAATTTTGTTATTATAGCATTAGCGGTTTAGGAGATATACACATTAAACCTATTAGAAGCGGGACCACGCCCACTTTTAAAAAAAAAGTTTTAACTGCAGATGCCCCTTCCTAATGTGATCCTGTGTACCAAATAACAGTCTTGTATCTTATTGCGGAGCTTAGTTATGGCAATTTATTTATTTTTGATTAATGGCGTTTTGTGGGCGTGGCAGTGGCCCGATTACGCCCATCTGCAATACCAACCGTCTCACGGTACCAAGAAATATGTCTACCAAGCTTCATAAAGATCTCAATTTTTACTCAAGTTAGAGCTTGCACAGACGGACGGACGGAGGGACGGACAGACAGTCACCCGGATTTCAACTCATCTCTTCATCCTGATCATTTATATATATAACCCTATATCTAACTCGATTAGTTTTAGGTAATACAAACAACCGTTAGGTGAACAAAACTATTATACTCTGTAGCAACAGGTTGCGAGAGTATAAAAAGCATAAATTGAACCACTTTCTGACGTTCCTTCTGGAAGGGAAAAGTGTCAACCCCGCAAATACAGAAAAAATTGACAAATAGGGCAACATAGTTCTTGCCGATTTAAAATATTTTTCCATGGCTCGCAAAATCTGTGTCGATATATATTATATGCATGCTCATACATAAACATTTCGCATGAATCAGTTAGTGTACATATAATATTTACATACATATGTTGCATGTCTCCGCTCTCAAAGCCCGCGATAAAAGGTGTACAAAAGCTCAATAATAATGTTACTAATATTATAATTCCGAATATTGAATAATTTATTTTTATTAATAGAATTTTTATTAAATTCAACATTTTTATTTGCCATTAAAAAAATTGTCTCTTAAATATTATTATTTTTGAATCACCCTGCTGTCTCTTTAATTGATTTCTTCCGTTTGAGATATGCGAAACACGATACGCCTAGAGCGCATAAGGTTCATTTCCGTTACGGAATTTTTTGATTCAGTCCCCGAACTCAAAGCCTGCGATAGAAGCTATGCAATAGCTTAAAAAATTTTTTAATTGTAAAATTCTTGAAATCTAAAAAAAGTTTTTTAAATACAAAACCACTTCAAAACATCTTTGGTACAAATTCTTAACAATTGCTAACAAGAACATGACCATTTAATTGCTTTTTTAATTAATATTTTAAGTTATTTCAAGAATAAAATAACACAAACATATTTAAGAGGCTATGGCAACTAACAAATTTGAACCAACTTCGTCATCAATCTTGCCAAAAAAGGGAGAGGCGAGAGATATCACAACATAGTATATGACCACTAATTTTTATCATATAAACTTTATTTTTAAATTTCAAATTCAAAATAATCTTCGAGAGATTATAAAATGCTTATATGGTTACACAATTACTCACCTTCAAGAAGCTCTACATATTTAGAATAACGAGGTTTTACTATACGTTTTTTCTTTTTTCTAAGTACTTCGTTTATAGTTGTAGATTGAGAACGAACTCCTGGATTGACTGGAATTTTTTGCCGCTTATTTTCGCCAATATCTAAAATTATATAATTTTTTTAAATAAATAATTAAGTATTTAATGCATTTGCATCGATTTAGAATAGGAACCCCCGAATTAAGGGTTAATATAACATTCCATACTTATAAATCACCATAATTTCTTTTATCCCTCACTAGGGCATAAGGCTTCATTTATATTATATATAAATATATATCATAGAGGAAATATATTGTTATATATATATGTATATTTTTGGTTTAGCGTTTATTTTTTTTGATCTTTGTTACAATAATAAAGTCCACAATTATAATAATTTTGAGTATGCTAGCTTTCGATTTGAATGAATTTTACTCTTATAATAATCTTGAAATGTTTATTTGGTGAAACATATTTTTATTATTAAACTCACAGTTTAAAAACAGTACTATAAATATCATTTCTAAAATATCTGTTAGTAATACAGCTATAAAACCATTTTGCCAGACTTTCAATCCGCAAATCATTAACTATGACGATCGTAAGAATTATTGTTCATTAGTTCTGACTTTATGCAACAGAAAAACTAAAGCGGTAAGCTTTCTTTACGTAAAGGCGTCATCAATTTTTAAACGTGACGAAATGTAAGACTTAATGTCCTCCACCAAGGTATCTTTGGCAAGTCTAGAAATAAATATAGACTTTTTAGGTGGAATAACCAAATTTTTAATAGATGTTACTAAGTTATTAGGGGGAGCCTCTGGAATTGTGAGACACTTATTACTAGAGAGCTTTTGGTGAATTGAGCTCTTTGGAAGTTGACGGCTTATCACCTTGAGGGCAAGGAGAAGAGAGATTTATTAGGTCATTGGGTGGAGACGTTCTTTTCTGTACAGAAGAACTAGGTGTTACTTCATCGGAAGGACGTTTACACTTAGGAGCAGGTTTGGAGGATTCATGAGAATCATTCAGGCACTTAAAAGATTTGCACAATTTTTCGTAGTGCCTAAATTTTTCAGTAAGGGTTACAAGATCTCGACCGATTTCGTTAAAGCCATTGCGCGTCTCCCTATAAACTTTAAATAGATCGATTTTAATAGATCTACAATTTAAACAGGACCAACGCAATCCCTTACAGTCAAGAATAGAATCTAAGATTCTACCCGTCAGTCCAGCACATTTTATATGGGCAAGCCCATCACAAAGCCAGCATGAAACATAGCGATCTGACTTGCCTTTAATGTTACAATTGGGGAAGTTACAAGGCATAATAAACAACAAGAATGATGATCAAATAAATGAGTAAGTAAAACAAAATTTAATGGATGTAGAATAAATTAGTGTGTTAATAAAATATTAATAATAATAAATTCAATTAAGAACAAACGCAAAAATAATAGGATTTTTTTTTATCAAAGTTCCAATTCAAGACAGTTTGAAAAGCAATATGGCGAGCAGTTTTAGATGCACTGGAACAAATAAAAAGCTACACGCAACACAGCTGTGAATAAAGAAGTAAATGAGATAAATAAAGAAAGAAAATAGAATAAAATAAAACAAAATGAAACAAAAAGCTGACTCGGCATCAAAAATTTGAAAATTTAAACTTTTTAATAATGCACAAAACTTGAGAACATTTAATACTTAGTTTGCAACTCAGAGTTAAATCACTAAATATTGAATTAAATCACTAAAAATCAATTAAAGTTTAAGAATTTTGCAAAATTAAACACAATAGTTCACACCAAAAAAATTACAGCTTTACAGCTTGAAGTGTTGCCACCTTTTGATGTACGTAATTTTGGAATCAATCAAGGATGATTGTACTGAAAAGCTTATAACGCGACAAGAAGCGGCAGAAATATTACGAAATTTACAACAGCTGGAAACGGCAGTAATGGTTGGTGTATGGGATGTGTTTTTATGCATCCAAACAATATACAAGAGAGAAAACCACAACCAAAAAGAAAAAAATAATTGATGAAACTATCGATGAAGATATTGGAATGGCTGCGAGTGATTACTTCGGGGGTTACGCGTTTCTCGTTCTCATATATAAACTCATTTCCGAATTAGCAAAACGGGAAGAGGTCTATAACGGTTTTAACAAGAAATTTTCATTTCTGAATGATGAATGACTTGTCACCATCGAGTCTGACGGAAAAAGCCAATTTCTAGGAAAAAATGTATCCTAATAATTTAGAAACAGACTTAATTCAAGAATGCGTACACTTTCAAACATATCTTTCTTCTGGAAGAATTTTAATACAACTAAATTCTGAATTATTAAAAAAACTGTCTTCGTTCATGCGACAACAAAATCTATAAAATATTTATCCAAACATGAATATGTATGTACACCAGCGACAAATTGCTCTGGTGAGAGAAGTTTTTCTTGCTTAAAGAGAGTCAGAACTAACGAACAAGTTTCATACGACGATATAATTTTCGATTTTGCAAATGCAAATCACTCAAAAAGTTATTGTAATATTTTTATAATTTAACCGTATCTTTAATACTAACAGATAATTAAGAAAGAATATTTATTATGGTATATTGTTTTTAAAAAATATTTATCAACGTTACTCACAAGTACATATTTTGTGTAAGTTTGGTTCATATATCATGTAAGTATTGTATAGTTTTAAGACATACCTTAACTTTCCCTAAAAGTAGTATATGATTGAGATTTTCTTTGCTTAGAATAATGTTTCTTCATAATTCTTTGTTGTGAAAATAATCAAGGATCTAACACGGTACCTTAGTTCTTAAATAATAAAGTGTAAATTTTATAGATAGAAAATTTAATTTATGTAATTTTGAACTAAGGTATCGATTTTCAGAGGTCAGTAGAGGCGAAAATTGAAAAGCCTACAGGCGGCCAAGTTTTAAATCCGCCATTGTTTTAACATCAAAAAGTTCGGGTGTAACCGACCATTTCATACTCTGTTAGGATCAAATCCGGGGAAATACCTTCAGGTGTTGGCAAAACTCTATATTAAGAATAGTAGCGAAAAAGGTTCAACTTCATTGTTCGACGAAATAGTGAATGGATTACACCAAAATTGGTATCATATTAACTTATTTTAAAGATCATAGACTCAATTAATTTTATAACTATATTTTACTTGCCGTCAGCAAAAATTATACGAAAATCATTGGGGGCATAGATATGGAAAGGCTGATTGCATTAATTTTTGACATTGCTCTGGTATACAGTACCCCGCCAACCCATTAGAAACAAGGAAAATTATTCATATAATTTTTCGTTCAGAGCCAAATAAACCAAAAATTATAACGATATGTGAATGCAAGTTTTTGTAGAATATTTATTTGAAATATTCTATTTTCATAAAATTGAGAAAAACTTCAATTTTTTAGTATTTGGTTGACAAACCTTTATTTTTAATAACTGCCTTCACTCTTTGAGGCATACTATTTAAACAATTCTTTATCATTATTTTTAAATCCGGGTCAATTAGCCAAACATCCTTTATTTTATCTTTGAGTGTGGCTACTGTGGGATTACTTCGTGAATACTCCTTCGATTTAAGGAACGCCCAACAGTTTTCGATGGGGCTTAGGTCGGGTGAATTGCCCGCCCAAGGTATAATAATTAAACACTTATGAAAAAATTCGATTTCTTCCACTGCGCCAAACAATTTATCTCTGATGAACCAGAAATCACAAATGCTAAACTCCAAGTGAAGTAAACATTTCAATGTAATTTCGAATTTAAGTCACCCTAATCGCAACGGTATATTTTTTTTATATTTGGCATGAAGTAATATATTGTGCACAACCTACTTAATGCTTCAGCAGTTGAAAAAATTCAAGTTATTCGCCTAGCAACCTTCCCCAGTACGTTATTCGTAAATTTCTATATATATTTTCCATGTTTCTAATGGGTTAGCGGGGTACTGTACTTGAGAACTTATTTTCAAGTAATTTAATAAATATAAAAATATAAACATATGTATGGAGTAAAGTCAGGTTAAGGCAAGTTTTCGCCCCATTTTATCCATTTTATGATACACAAAGATACACTGTTATTAGAAATACACGCTTTCTCAATTTCATTAAAATACCTCCCACATTGGCCGATATATGGGGTATAAAGTCAACTGGAAGTTCGACGATCTTTATATAATATTAGGTATATGGGGGCTTAGGAAAGTATTGATCCGATTCAACGCATTTTTGACACAAAAATCAAAACAAAAAATTCCCAGAATTTCAATTATATATCTAACATATTGACCGATATTTTCGGCAAAAAGTCAGCCATAGGCTCTGGGATGCACAATTAAGGTGTCTGGGGACTTGAATAGTTATGGTCCAATTATGACAATTTTTAGACCTTAAATGCCACCTTATCCCGAGAGTATACCGATATATTAATTAGTGCTTGATTTGTATACTGGAAAGTGACAAAATCAGAGTGTTATATGGGAAGTAGGTGTGGTTACTGTCCACTTTCGCACTATAACATGGGAATGTCAAAATAATCGCATGTACGAAATTTGGTTGAAATTGGTAGGGTCGGTTCGGAGATATGTGATTTCACCTAAATGTGGGCAGTGCCACGCCCATTGTCCAATTTTAACACCAGCTGCTACAAAGTCCTTTTGTGTCATCTTGGATGTAAAATTTAATGTCTCTGACACATTTTGATATTGATTTAATCGCAGTCTTAGTCGTTTTTAACCAAACCGTTGTATTGGGAGTAGGCGTGGTTATCATTCGATTTCACCTATTTTCATGCTGTCGCAAGAGGTGTCGAAACTACAATATATGTCCATTGCAAATTTGGATGATATAGCTTGAAAAGTTAAGGAGATATATACATTAAACCTATTTTGGCGAACGCCACCCTCCTTTTTTGCGATTCGTTGTACCAAATTAGGGTTTTGTATCTCAATTTGCGGCTTAGTTATGGCAATTTATATATAAGGTTGGCAGTTATTTCCCTTCAGCTTTTTTGCTCTTCATTCAATGCTTTATAAAAAGTGTTACAGTGATCGGATTTAGTTAAAATATGCACCATTTTGTTCGATGAT